TTGCGGTACGCGGGCCTCTCACTGTTGTGGCCTCTCCCATTGCGGAGCACAGGCTCTGGATGCGCAGGCTCAGCAGCCATGGCTCACAGGTCTAGCCGCTCCGCGGCATGTGGGGTCTTCCCGGACCGGGGCATGAACCCGTGTCCCCTGCATCGGCAGGCGGACTCTCAACCACTGCGCCACCAGGGAAGCCCGAGGTTTCTTAATTTTTATGCCCTGGGTACACTTTGAGTATGTCAAGCTGCTCTGGGTAATCATTAAGTGCAGTAGTCATGGCCACTTGATGGGCATTTTGTAAAGGAGGTGGCATGGCTTTCATGGGAAGCACACTCATTGGATAACCCTGAGCAAATCCATTATCCTTCTTGGGCCTCAGTTTCCATAGGTGCAAAGTGAAGGAGGTAGACCAACCAGGTCAGGAGTTCTTAGCTGTGTCTGTGAAGGGCTAGAAGTTAAGTCTAAATTCCTTGCACGCACATGCACTGTGCACACGTATCCATAACTAGTTCTTGAAGGCGCATCGGTCTCCCGAATTGTCCACAAAGACTTGCATGGACGACCTCTCAGGGCTGCCAGTTCCTGGCTGGTCTGGGATTCTGGAACTCTGATTTAAAAGCTGTTTCTAAGACTCAAAAAGCAAGTCCTGTAGAGGTGGCTGCTCTGAGTTAACTAGCACGGGCTGGTTCTAGAACATATAGAAAGAGCTCCCCAGAGAACTTATAGCTGGGGCTTTGCTGGCCAGGGAGGCCCTAGCTGCCTAGCATCCTTGTCTGTCTACTTTTGGCCTTCCCTCCTGCTCCACAGGCCCTCGGTACTGTCCTCCCAGCCCCACCACCTGCTCCTCTCCTGGATGCTACACTGGCCTAACCCATCTGCCTGCTTCCCACCCCCATCACACTTGGCGCAAAACCCAAATCCCTTCAATCCCTACCTGATCCGGCCTCCACCCGCCTCTCTGAAGGCATCCTCTCCCTCCCGCTACTCTAGGGCTGAGCTGCAGCCTCACTGGCCTTTGGTCAGTACCCCATTCTCTAGGCTTGGTCCCCACCTGGATCTTTGACTTTGCTGGGTCCTCTCTGCCTGGAAGCTTCTCCACATTTCCCACTGCCTGGCTCCTCCTTCAGGTCTCAAACCAGACGTCAGCTCCTCCAGGAAGCCTTCTGTCACCCCATCTAAGTAGATTCCCCTCCTTCTCTTGTCCTCCCTCAGTGCACCTGGTTTGTTTCTTTCGTGGCACTAGCACAATCTGTAATGAAATATTTATGTGTTTTCTTCCCCCACTGAGATGTCAACAAATGAAGGAAAGAACTGAGTCTTATACATCACAGTGCCTGGCTCACAGTAGCATTTAATAAGTGCTTGTAGGCCCCCCGCTATCATGCCCGCCTCAAATTTAAATACTAACAACACCAAGTACTGTTGAGGGCATGGAACAATAGAAACTCATATGGCTGGTGGGAGTGTGTAATGGCACCACCACTTTGGAGAGCAATTTTGTAGTTTTTAATCAAGTCACACATACGCTTACCCTATGACCCGGCAATTCCACTCCTAGAGATTCACCCAAGAGAAATAAAAACATAGGTCCACACAAAGACTTGTACACACGTACTGTAGGCTTGTTCATCACAGCCAGAAACTAGAAACAAACCAATCATCCGTCTAGAACAGGCAAGACCGCTGTACCCCCCATAGTCCAACTGGGCAGGGGAAGATTCGCAGCCCCAGGAGGGGGCTGCGAATCCTCACTGGAGTGACACAGGACTTAATATTCATGGATGTTGAACACAAGTGGATTGGAGAAAGACCGGGCAGATGGAGGGCAGGCGTGGTCAGGGATGTCCCTGGAGACATACTCTCGGGGCCCCGTGCTGCCTGGCCTGAGAGCAGGGACTGACCGCTTGGGAGAACCCAGCCCCGGTGCTGCCCGTGTGTGCAGGATTCTTGCAAAATGCCAATTAAGACATTTGACCCAAATTCGGATAAAAGCCTTTTTCCTGTGTCAAGTTGAGCTAATAATATACATTTATTCATAATTTATGAGGCCTAGTAAGTGGGAACAATTAAGGAAAAGGTCTGGATAAAACCTATTTCTCTTAAGTGTCACACAAGCCTGTCTCTCTAAAGAGATTCCACCCTCCTCTGCCTGCCATGAAACTCTGTTGTTCTTATTATTTTTAAAAATTTGTTGTCATTACTGCTCGCTACCATTTATTGAGCAACTTACCAAGCCAGGCTACGGCACTGCCTCCTTTAATATTAACTGTATGAGACAGTTGTTGTTCCATTTTACAGATGAGACAGTTGAGCTTCAGAGAGGTGAAGTGACTTGCCTAAGGCATCACAGGTGGCGAATGGGGATCATGATTCAGGTCTGCCAGACCCCAGTGCCTGTGGTGTCCTGTTTCTGTGTTAGCCTCCCTACTCAGGCTGTTTCTGAACCTGCAAGGCAGCCCTTCTGTTGGTAACTGTTAAACTTAGGAGACCAGGGTGAGAAGGTGACTACAGGTCTGGGGTTAGGCCTGAGAATCTGCATTATTTCTTATAGGTTCCCAGGTGGTTCTGCCCCTGCTGGTCCTGGGACCACCCTCTGAGAAGCATCAGTTCGGTCGGTACTGTTACCAGGTCCTCCATGACTCCCTTCTACCCCACCCACCACTGGCAGGTGGGTTTATGGCCTTCTAGACCTTTTCCTGTGTACTGGCACAGTATTCTCACATGTATTATCATGAGAAATGTGTAGCTTGAGTCTGTCCCATTCTCTCTACGCATGTGGGGTAATATTTTACTTGTTGATATTCTGCAGTTTAGTATTTTATTTAACATGCCATGGAGAACATACATAACGCCTCATTCTTTTCAACAGCACTGTTTTATGATGTATAGGTGATTATAGCTCTACTTACCTATTGTCTACTGATGGGTGGGCTTCCACACTTTAGACATTACAAATATTCCTGGGAACATAGGTGAGTGTTCTTCCAAAACACAGCAATCATTCAGTGATGTCATCTCTTGTTATTATTGCTTTTTGTTGTTTCATTATTCATATAGAGGGGTTGTTGCCTTCCAGAAATCCCCTTTCACGTGGAAGCAGTGGTATAAAGGAATAGATCTCTATTTATAGGTTGTAATAAAGTTTTCAACAAAATAGTTCTGGTAAGAGAATAGAGGTGCTATGCGGGCAGGGGTGTATAGGAGTGCAGAGGAGGTGGGGACGGAGCAGCAGGAAGGGGGATTTGTACTGCCAGGGCCTGACTTAGCTCATGGTAGGTTCGACAGTTGCAAGAGGATGCGGCTTTACATTTCTTGGTCGCTTGGCAAAATCGGGCCTCGGACAAAGGCAGCCACAGGTTCAGACTGGCAGCATCCTGAGTAAGAGGGTCCCTGCTGGGGTCTAACCAAACTCAGCTCTGACCCGCCTCCTTCCTTCCTGTTTCCTCAGGGCGGGGGATCTGGGGAGGAGCAACTCTGCGCTGACTTTCCAGAGCTAGACCTCTCCCAGCTGGACGCCAGTGACTTCGACTCGGCCACCTGCTTTGAGGAGCTGCAGTGGCGCCTGGAGAACTCCGAGACCGAACCCAGCCAGTACAGCCCCGACGATCCGGAGCTCTTCCAGGTATGCCCTCCGGAACCTCGCTGCCTCTCTCTCCCCCTAAAAGCCCGGCTCTTCCCTGAGCCATCTCCTAATACACTTGCTCATGCAAAGAAGTCTCCTCATCCACCAAAGCTCTTGGGACTCTGTCTCTTGTCCCGGGTCTGCACTTGATCTTGGGCAGCTCTTGCCCCCTTGCCAGGCTGTGTTATCGCCCCTGGGAAGTGAGGGCTCGGAAGCGCTGCTCTCTCTATGCCCCCAGTCAGAACCGAGTCCCTCTGTGAGCCAGAGTGGGTTCCAAGGCCTCCCTTCCCTGTATGGTCACAGTGAACTCTCATTCCCACCCTGTGAAGCAGGTGAGATTATTGCCCCATTTTACAGATGAGGAAACTGAGGCTTGAAGAAGTTTAGTCACGGGCCTAGGGTGATTTACCTCGCCGGGAACTGAACTAGATTTAAACCCAGTTTGCCTGCCTCCTGAGCCAGAGCTTTATAACCATGCTTACGCCATAATGGGAATGACTCACATTCTCTGTGGCAGGACTGTCCCTGTTTGTGTATATTAACTCGCTTAATTTTCTTAACAACTCACACACAGAAGTATAGTTATCTCCATTTTTCAAATGGAGCCTAGAGGTTCTTTAAAAAGAGGCAGTGCCAAGAACCGCAGTGCATATCTATGCATCTGCCTCTGTTCTCAGCTTTGGAGGCACATTTCCTTTAAGAAGGCCTCGAACATGGGGCAATGTGATGTCTGGGATTTGCATCAGAATAAAGCAATCCCTACATGCATTTGCGTTTGTGGCTGTGGGTGCATGGCATGGAGGGTAATAAGTGAAATATGATTGGCCACGTTGAAGCTGGGTGATGGGTACATTTGGACTCATTATTCTTTCCTTGAAATACGCTCCCCTATAAAGATTGGAGGAAGAAGCCATAGCTCCCTGTGTCTGTTTGGCAGGATGATGATGATGATGATGATGATGATGATGACGATGATGTCTGGCAATATAATAATAACAATAGCGACAACAATAATAATAACATACCATGTGCCAAGTCAGTGTGCCAAGAGCACCGTCTCAAATAGTACTCCTGATTGTATCATTCCTTCTAGAAATGTTTATGGAGCTCCCTGTATGTGTCAGACACTGTGTTCAACAGTGGACTCTATGGTCTAGAGGGAAGACTGACCCTAGATCAGGTAATACATAAACCAACAGCGGTCACTTGTGACATGGACACAGTAGGAATAAACCTGGGATGCGAAGAGCATCTAAAGGCTGGGTGGTCAGGAAAGGCCTTTCCGAGGACAGATGCTTCAGCTGAAGGAGGAGGAGGAGCCACACGATGAGTGATGATCACAGAACCAGGAAGCAGGAAAGCTCGCTGTGTTGGGACCCGAAGGGCTGGAGCAGTAGCGAAGGGGAAAGGGCCAGGAAGTAGTCGGGGGGTGGAGGTGGGCTAGGCGGGGCCAGATCATGCAGGCTCTTCTGGGCCATGTTAAGGAGTCGGATTTTTCCCAAGATTATTCTAAGCTGTCGGTAGGAAAACTATTAGTAACCCATTTTACAGGTGAGGAAAGTGACGCTCAGAGAGGTTAAGTAACTTGCCCAAGGCCATCCAGTTAGGAAGGGTCAGAGTGTAGACTCTAACACAGGACCCCAAACCCCTCGCTGTTGTATACCTCTTTGCCAACCCTATGACGATCAGCAGGGCTGGGCTCTAATTCTGGCTCTTTCCCAGGACGTCCATTCTTTCTCACAACAATGTGGTTAACTACGCTATGCTACCTCCTTCCTCAGAGGGGGCCAACTTCCAGGAAATGCTTTCAGGTTATGGAGAGCTGATGAGTGAGAGGGGTTTAGATGCTGCGGGGAGACCATCCCCACCTAAACTGTACAGGCCTCACCTACTCAGAGACTGGCCAGACCCACTAGTAAGCTCCTGCCAAGGTCCTACTATGTGCATGAAATGGTCTCAGACACAAGTCAGCCTTGGTATGGCCCTTGGGCTCTTAGCACAGCAAGGAAGGCAGGAGAATCTTCACAGATGGTTAGGACTGAGGCAGAACTCTGCCCACCCAGCCCCTCTCCCCTTCATGGCCCGCACTCCACCTCTGCTCCACCCATTACACACCGGTGCGCCTCTGTGCGCCTCTGCGGTGATTATGTGATTAGTGCCTGATTCCTCCCTGCCCCCGTCCCCCATCATAAACCCCCTGAGCTTGGGGGCTGATACAGCATTGTGCATTGTTATGTCCCCAGGGCTCTGCATGGAGCCCGGCACTTTCTTGGGGCTTAAAAAATATTTATCATATGAGTAAATCCTTTGACACCCAGCTGTCATGTTAGCCCCTCCTAAGGCAGGTGGTCAGTCACTTCCTCTCTGGGCTCCCATCCTGTGTACGTGCATGCCTGTGACCTTCAGGCTTCGAGCTCCTTGAGGACAAACAGAGTTTTGTTCTTCTGTGGGGCCCTTGTGCATTGAAAAGACTCAATCATATGTGTTGAATGAAGAAACTGATTGTAATAGTTTCCTTCCTGCCAAGGACCAGACACGACCCATTCCAGAGTCCTTGAGCTGGGATACAGGGGCCAGAGGTTCTAATACCCCCTCTGCCACTAACTGGGACAGCGTCCTTATCTGACCAGTGGCAGTCATAGAGCCATGCTGCCTTGTGTCAGAGCTGTGTTCTCACAAGTCAGGTGGTACCATCACTATGGAAACAGACAGAGTGGAGAACAGCTACCCTTATAAGAGTTGACAACTGCTTGGGGGCAGGGACAGTGCCTTCCGTTTCTGTGTGCCCAGAGTCCTAGGGCCAGGGTCACAATAGGCTAAACTTAGTAAGTACTTTTGGAGGAAGCAGGTGTTTGGTTCTATCACCGTGTGCCACGTGGCCTTGGGCTAGTAGCTCCTCACTGTTGGGCCTAAGTTTCCCCAGGTGAGAAATGAGGAACGAGCATGGATCAGATCAGTGATTCTTACTCTGTTGTAGGGAGAGAGTCACTGGGTCCTGTTAGACCCTGATGACATCTGTGGACCCACCCCCAGAAAAAAGGAAGGGAAGCTGATTTCCTGCACCCCAGTTAAGCCCTGGGACGGCAGATGATTTCTGAGTGTTCTTATGGTCCTGATAGCCTAAATTCTGTCCTGTGTCATTCCTTCAAGCTCCTCTAGGCACCCAGAATGAAGCGTTCTCCCTCAGGTTTCTTGCAGGTTCCTTTTCCTTCAGCCTAAGAGAGCTCAGGAAGGTTGGGGGTGGAGCAAGTCTATTAATATCCCTTCCTCAGCTGATTAACTCTCCATTAATTTGCACTTTGTTTCTAAGCGGAGCCGGGAGAGCTGAGCTAACGGGCCGGAAGAGGAGAGGGGCGTCTCCCTGTGATGTATTATCCTAGGGTGCTGATGGCACGATGCCGAGGGCACGAATGGACTTTATTCCCAGACAGGGTCAGGACCCCCAACCCTGCCTGGCTGTTCCAGAGCTGGAGCAGCCCAGGGAGGGCTGAGGAGAGAGCGGGGAGACCTTCTGTCAGTCATTTTGTTTTTACTCAACCTATTGGGGCTCCTTGGGGTCTCTGCCATCTGGCATTCCTTTCAGCACCATGCCTGGCACCTAGTAAGTCCTTGACCATCCTCCCCAGCCCCTCCTGACTTGCTGTGTGACCTCTTTCCTGGACCTTCATTCCCCCCACCCCCAAAAGAATGGCAAATAGGCTTCCTCATGAGTTCCAGCTGAGACGTATGGGCAGTGTTGCTTGGAGGGTTGTGGTCAGAAAGGTGGAAGGGCAGGGTTGGGGGGAGGGATGGGGACAGTAGCACGCAGGCTGCATGTTTGACATCCCTGGTCACTACGTGATCCCTGAAGGCCCTTCCAGCTCTGATAGTTGTGATAATTCAGAATATCTCTGGGCCATGCTTCTCTCCCTGTGAAAGAGGGAACCCTTATTCCATCCAGTGCTGATGACATCATTTCTGAATAACTTCCCTCTAGAATCTGTTTTTTGAGACACTAATCTCAGTCTCTCCCCAGTGGTCAGAGTTCATTGTTTGGTTCACTCATTCTTCCATTCAGCAAATCTGCCTGGAGCCTCGCATGCCCCAGGCACTGAGCTAGACCCTGGAACATTGCACAGAGCCCTTGTGTCACTGCCTCCAAACTGGCCTTCCTAGTAGCCTTTGGAGGGAAGCCAACCAGGGATCCTGTCTTCCCGTTGACTAGAAATCAGCAAGGCTTAGAAGAGGGAAATGACTTGCCCAGGATCACCCTGTCAGTGGCAGAGATGCTGCCACGGTCAGCCCCAAGAGTGGTCCTTGAGCCCAGCTCCCAGGATCTTAACTCCCCATCAGGCTGGGCAGATTGCTCTGGGAACACAGGGTTGGGATTCTGGCCTGAGGATGGGGATGAGAGGCTGCCACTTGAGCCCGATTGCATTCCCGAACCAGAGTTCTTGGGCCTGGATCTGCCCTTGGACTCGCATCCCCAGGGCCTAGGTCAGGCTCAGCCAAAACCTTTTGACCTTTTCTTTTATTCTTAGCTCTGTTCCAAAATCACAAACACATTTTTTCTCTTCTCCCCATGTCCCCCCTTCGAATTACTCAGCTGCTGCTCCGGCTACAAGGCCTGGAACAGATTTCATGCAGCCAAAAGGCCGAACTTCCTGCAGAAAGGATAAACATCCTGACCTCGGATGGGAAAGA